ATGGTAGGCAATTTGATATAGGTTATACATGTTCTACCACGTAAAACACATTTCCATATTAGTCGTAATTGTGAAAGAAGAAACAGATAAAAAAAACCACAAAAAGAATAAAGTGAAAAAATATGCTTCCACCTGCATTTCAAAGTCCATTAGTTCTTTATCTGGATATGGATAGCATTCCTTTGTGAGTCTTTTGTGCTTATCTTGGATCATTGTTTTACTGAGAAGAGCTTAGTGATAATCATAGTTGATTATCACACAATGTTTCCAGTACTGTGTATCATGTTTTCCTGGTTCTTCTCATTTCACTTTGCATCAGTTTGTATAAGTTTTTCCAGGTTTTTTCTGAAATTTGCCTGTTCATCATTTCTTGTGGCATAATGGTATTCCGTTACATTCATATACCACAGCTCGTTCAGCCATTCTCCAATTGATGGGCATCCCCTTAATTTCTAATATTTTGCCACTATAAAAAGGGCTGCTATAAATATTTTGTCCATTTTTCCTCTTTTATGATCTCTTTAGGATATAAACCTAGTAGTGGTATTGCTGGATCAAAGGGTATGCACAGTTTGGTTGCCCTTTGGGCATAGTTCCAAATTGCTCTCTAGAGTGGTTGAATCAGTTCACAACTCTACCAGCAGTGAATTAGTTTCCCAGTTTTTATACAACCTCTGCAATGTTTATCGTTTTCTTTTTTTTTTTTTGCCATGTTAGCCAATCTTTACGTGTGAAGTGGTATTGCATTTTTCTAATCAAAAATTATTTAGAGTTTTAATTTCTTCATCTAAAAACTGCCTGTTCATATATTTTGACCATTTATCAATTAGAGAATGGTTTGTATTCTTATAAATTCAGTTCTCTACATATTTGAGAAATGAAGCCTTTATCAGAGACATTTGTTGTAAAGATCGTTTCCCAGCTTTCTTTCTAATTTCGGTTGCATTGATTTTGTTTGTGCAAAAGCTTTTTAATTTAATATAATCAAAATTATCTATTTTATATTTTGTAATGCTCTCCATCTCTTGTTTCATTATGAACCTGTACTCACTTAACTTCTTCTTTAAAAATTTGAATGCTATACCATTTGGTGCAGATGTGTTTAGTATTGCCATTATTTCATTGTCCTTGGTAGCATTTAGCAAGATGTAGTTTCCTTCCTTATCTCTTTTAATTAGGTCTGATTTTGCTTTTACTTTGTCTAAAATCAGGATTGCTACCTCTACTTTTTTTATGTCAGCTGAAGCGTAATGATTCTTCTCCATCCCCTTACCTTTCCTCGGTGTGTGTCTCTCTGCTTCAAGTGTATTTCTTGTAAACAATATATTTTAGGATTCTGGTTTTTGATCCACCCTACTATCTGCTTCTATTTTATGAAAGAGTTCATTCCATTGACATTCACAGTTATGTGTATTTCCTTCCATCCTATTTTTCCTCCTGTTTGTCTTCTCTCTCCTTTCACCCTTTCTCTCCACACCAGTGTTTTGCTTCTGTCTGTCATCTCCCCCGATCTGTTTTCCCTTCTGCCTATCTCCTCCATATTTACATACTCTCCTCCCCTCCTCCTTCCGTGTCAGGTGAGAGAGATTTCTATATTCAACTGATTATGTATATTACTCCCTCTTTGAGCCAATACTGATGAGAGTAAGGTTCAAGTGATGCCCATTACCCACTCTCCCATCTCTCCCTCAATTGTAATAGGTCTTTCACACCTCTTCATGTGAAATAATTTACCCCCTTCTACCTCTCCCCTTCTTCTGCACGCAGTGTCCTCCTCTTTCTCATTCCTTAGTTATTTTTTATGTCATTCCCTCAAATTCACTTTATATCTGTACCCTCTATGTATTGTCCTCACTGTACTATTAGTGGCACAAGTTTTAAGAATGACAACTGTCATCTTCCCATGTAGGGATATAAACAGTTCAGCTCCATTGAATCCCTTATGTTTTCTTTTCCTTTTTTACCTGTTTATATTTTTCTTTGGTCTTGATATTAGAGATCAAATTTTTTGTTCAATTCTGGTCTTCTTCTTATGAAAGCTTGACATCCTATTTCATTGAATGAACTTTTTTTCCCCTTTGAAGTAATATGCTTAATTTTGCTGGGTAGGTGATTCTTGGCTGTAGTCCTAGCTCCTTTGCCTTCCAAAAGAATCATGTTCCTTGACCTCTGATCTTTTAATGTTGAAGCTACTAAATCCTGTGTAATTCTGATTTTGACTTTCCAATATTTGAATTGTTTCTTTCTGGCCACTGGCAGTATTTTTACCTAGACCTGATAGTTCTGTAATTTGGCTATAACGTTCCTTGGAGTTTTTATTTTGAGATCTTTTTCCTGAGGTGATCAGTGTTTTCTTTCAATGCCTATTTTGCCATCTGGTTCTAGGATATCAGGACAGTTTTCCTTGATAATTTCTCAAAAGATGATGTCCAGGTCCTCCTTTTGATTATGACTTTTAGTAGTCAAATGGTTCTGACATTGTGTCTCCTGGATCTCTTTTCCAAGTTAGTTATTTTTCCCATGAGGTATTTTATGTTTTCTTCCATTTTTTTTCATTCTTTTTAAGTTGTTTGATTGATTCTTGTTGTCTCATGGAATCATTAGCTTCCACTTGCCTAATTCTAACTTTTAAGAAATTGTTGTCCTCAAGTAGCTTTTTTACTTTCTTTTCCCTTTGGCCAATTGTATTCTTTAAGGATTTGTTTTCTTCAGTGTATTTTTCTATCTCCTTTTCTATTTGGCCAGTTCTACTTTTTAAGCAGCTGTTTTCTTTTTCCAAGCTATTGACTCTTTTTTTCATAATTCTCTTGCATCACTCTCATTTCTTTTCCCATTCCTTCTACCTCTCTTATATGATTTTTAAGCTCCTTTTTGAGCTCTCCCGTGAATTCTTTCTGGGCTTGAGATCACTTCCCATTTTAGTTTGGGATTTTGCTTATAGGTGTTTTGGCATTGTTGTCCTCTAGTGAGTATGTGTCTTGATATTCCCTGTCACCATAATAACTTTCTGTGGTCAGATTCCTTTTTTGTTGTTTTCTGCTCATCTTTTTTGGCCTTTTTTTACTTTCTTTTAAATGTGAGCTCTGCTCCAGGATGGAAGGGGCACTGTCTCAAGATTCTTGTTCCAGGAGCTATAGGCTCTGACTGTTTACCTGGTGCTGCATTAATGTTACCCTGAGGCCCCCGGGGGACCCTTGTGTCCAGTATTGTGCTGGGTGGGGAGTGGCTGGCCCTGCTGGAGGCCATAGTGGTCTAGCAGCTTACTCAGTGCTGAACCAGTGTTCTAGTGGTGGTGTCTGACATGAGCTGGGGCCAGTGTGGTGTTAATGTGTTTCCCTGGGGCCACACTGAAGCATGTGGTGGTCTGGCTGCTGGCATCTGTTTGCCCAGAGCTCTGCTGGAGCATGTGGCCTGTTTGCTTAGGCACCCATAGGGTTGCCATTTACCTGTTTACCCAGGGCTACACTGAAGCACATGGAGGTCTGGCCTCTGGAGGTTGCCTGTTTGTCCAGGGCTACACTGAATTATGTGAATGGGCCAGTGCGGGCAGCTTCCTGTTTGCTTAGGCCACCCATAGGGTTGGTATTTACCTATTTTACTGGGGCTATGGTGAAGCACATCCTGGTTCTGGAGTCTGCCCATTCTCCTGGCTATGCTGAGGCATGTGGTGGGTCCTGGTGTTGGCATTTGCCTGCTGCCTTGTGCTGGGGCTCGGGATCTACTGCAGGTTTGCTGAAGTGGGACTTGCTGCTGTCTTGCTGGGACACTTCCTGTACTACCCTTTCACATGAATGAGATGGACCTTTCTCAACGATCTTCCAAGTTTCTTGGACTTAAAGACTGTTTTACCCTGCCTTTTTGCTGGTTCTGCTGTTCCAGCATTTGTTTTGGGGCTCTATTTTATCTTTGTTTGGAGGTGAATAGGGGAGAGTTATGGCAACTTAGTGCTTACTCTGCCGTCTGATGAATATCTAGTGCCATCTTAGTTCCATGATAGTCTTTCCTTCTAAACTTCCAAGAAGAAATTTTATTAACCTAAAAGTATTCAAAAACCAATGCACAATCATAAAATCAAGCCCTGGTTCATGTGGCCAAAGTTTTCAGCAAATTGCAGCATTCCTAGTGAAAATGAGAAAGTAAAGAACAGTGCAATGACTTGGCATGACTCTAGAAGACTGATGATAAAGCATACTTCCTGCCTTCTGGTGGAGAGATGATGAGTTAGAGAGGCAGAATAAGGCCACATTTTCAGACATAGCTAATGTGTAGGTTAACCTTGCTTGACTATTTGTTACATTGTAGGGCTTTGGGAAAGAGGGAGAGTAATAGGAGGAATAAAGAGTAGGGATAGCAGTGTCAAGAATGAGAAAGAAAAGCATATCAATGAAATAAAAAAAAATTCCTAGAAGAGAGTGAAAAAGATATTTATAAGGGGAGACAGACAAGCATGGCAGTGTTGGTACTCCCATATTAAATGGAATATTTACTTTAAAATACAGCTTGTATGGAATAGAGATTTATGGCTTCATATATAATTCTTTTTTTCTTTGTTCTTTGTATATGAAATATTCCTGTTTGCTGATATGCTAAGTTCATATTTTTTTTAAAATTTTTTAATAAGAAAGTTAAAACGTAAATAAAAAGGGAAAAATAAATTTAAAGCTAAAAAAGCAATAAAAGCTTAATAAATTTTATATAAGTTGCATTGAACTGGACCTATATAATTGCAGATATGGAGCCTTCTGTATTAAGTTTCAATATGTTTAACATAGCAGATTCATATAAAAACTCAGTGAGTATACTGTTATTCTCTCCTTTCTCACCCATTCCTTTTAAAAAATAATAATAACAGTAACCACTTATCATGCTAACAAACATTAAAAACCCAAGAACTTTTCTTAACCAATTTGTGGTCAAGGGCAAATATAGCAGAAACTATTATGTTGAAGAGACACAAGTTCACCGTAAACATTCAACATTTAATTTTCTTTTATTTGCAGTGTACTTAAATGAAGCTGGATTCAACTTTGTGAGGAAGTGCATTCAAGCTGTAGAGTCTAGAGGTAAGTGGGACATGAGTTATTTTTCTCATGTTGTTTCCGGTATATGCTTCATTTTTACATAGAAGCTATTTCCGGGATCTTAGCAAATAGGCTAATACAAGACAGACAGACAGACAGAGAGAGAGACACACAAAGAGAAAGACTTATTTAGACATTTATTAATATGTCAGGTATTTCATATTCTTAATGTATTTAGAAATTTAGAATACACTTACAAATAAAGGCAGGAGCTTCATCTGTGCGAACAGGGAGCAGAAGTAGCGTGGCCTGGTAGAAATCTTGGGATTAGAGTGAGAGGACCTAGTTCCAGTGCTGGCTTTGCTTCTTTCTATCTTTGTAAGTTTCATATCCTCTGAGCATCAGTTTCCTTATCTGTGGAATGATCATCTTATATTAGATAACTTCTAGTGACCCTTCCAAGTCTTACTTCACGATCCCATGAATTTTATGATCCCATGGTCCCCTTGAATTTTAAACTCCTATAACTTGTAGTCATTATGTTTTCTAGTCCTGCTGAAAGGCCAAAATCCCTCACTTATGAGCTGAATTTTATTTTTGTTTCTGAAAACTTGTCTCAATTAATATATATATATATATGTAAAATGTGTATGTGTGTATATATACATATATATAGTTAAAGTCATACATTTTATTTTACTTAATAACTTATTGCAGTGCCATATACATAATAGGCTCTCAATAGATATTTTATATTTTTCTTGGTTGATTGTTTCCAAGATTGGGAGGTCTAGGTGACTTAACCAGTTTTAATAATTTAATATTTCAATATTTATCTTTAATATTTTAAGTATTAAATAAATTGTTTATACTTCATATTTTTAATATTTATAAACTAATATTTAATATATGACCAGTTTAATATTTAATGATTTAATATTTTAAGTTAAATGGTAAGGCTTTTTACAAGCAATGGAATGGCTCCTTGGTTCCAGTTGTTATTAGGTATTTGCATAGCCTGGTTTCAGGTCAGTGCTTAGGAAATGTTAGTGAAGATAACAGAACTTTCCAAATCCTCATCTGTTCTTCCCATTCATACAAAGATATAAAATTCCATTTTTCCACTAAGCTGAGTAATTTTAAGTAAAATAACAAGCTTCTTTCTGTTTTACCTGCACACATAGTATGTTATATGACTCTCACCACCAACAGAAAGGTTGTGCATACCGTTAGCATTGTTTAGAAACTATTCTCTTTTGAATACCTACCAGGTTCCCTACAACAATCCCCACCTCCTTAGTATTGTGGTTTGTATTTTTATTTGTCATTATTTGTTTTCAGATTCATTGCTGGTTATTTTGGTAAAGGATAGCCAAATTTCTATCCTTGGGTACCACTAATAAGGTCAATGAGTATATCTAGTATGTACAGAAAAGAGAAAGGTGAAAAGAAGCACATGGGAAAAAGACAGTAACAAGAGGGAAAAGATAAGTAGATTAGAAAACAATTAAAAGAAATATGAGGGAGCTATATTATATAATATGACATTCTTGGTAGGTGCTAAGTAAGTATTTCTTAGCCATCTCTCCTCTACCTAGTAGTTATTTTGTATGTATCTCATGTGGACTTATGTACATTCATGTTGTCTTCTTCAATAAAATGTAAGTTACTTGAGAGCGTCTTTTTGTTTGTATCTCTATCAACTGTACAATGCTATTATTTAATAATATTTAATAAATGCTCACTGATTAATTGAATGAATAAAGGAATGGTTAGGATGAGAGATATTATAAAGAAATATGGCATTGTATAAAGAACTCTAGAGATAACAGAACCCTGGAGATATCAGAAAACATGAGTTTAAGTTCCTGACTCTACTATTTATTCTCTGTGTGACCTTGGACAAATCACTTAATGTCTTTAGGTCTCAGTTTCCTCATGTAAGATGAAGGGTTCAATTAGATGATCTCCAGAGTTCCTTTTAGTTCCAAAATTCTATTATTTTGCTGTTGTTTATTTCTAACAAAAATTGACACAGTGAGTAGCTAGCACAAATGTTTGATCAACCACTCAGATTGTATTGTCTGCATAGAGGCACCTCATGTGCCAAATTAGCTCTGTGTCTAATTTAATCCTTGAGCAATGTTAGAAATTGTATTGAATATTGAATATTAACTAGCCTTAATTAAGGCTAGTTAAATAATGTAAGTTACTAACTCATTGAAGTAAGCATTATTTTACTGGCCTTTAGGGATATTGACCTGAATTATGGTCACTTAATATTTCTCACACAATGAAAAGGCATTCTCATGAAAACTTAAAAAAATCAGGAATCATGTGTTTGAGCTATACACCCTAAATATGTTAGTCTCAAATTTTTATACATAAAGCATCCTGTGCTTGATTGGATTTATCATTTTTCTTTATTCAGATGTTTAACCGTGGCATATTAAAGTAGTCTAAATTACTCTATAGTGCTTTTACTCGTCATTAGTGACACTGATGTGGGCAAACCAGGAGAATATAGGCCCAAGAGCTGGCCTGGGTCACTGGGGTAGGTAAGTACGGGGATAGTGTGTACAAGCAAGAAGTCATAAATAGAGGATTCCACTCAATTCATAAGATGAAGTCAGACCCAGAGTTAGGGAGAACCAATCCAGAAGCAACAGGCAAAGTATTAAGGCCAGATAAAAGATTTAAGGCTCCAGGACAAAGTGGACAAGTCTGAGTAGTCTGGCTAGGATCAATTTCCAGACAACCAAACTAGACAGGAGAGTCTAAGTAGAAAGAAGTACAAGGAGGGAATGTACACTCTGGGATTCAAAACATCCCTGAGGAAAAGATGAGAATTGAAGTCCAGACATGCAGAGTTGAAGAACAATATCTTAAGGAACAGAATAGATGGGTGGATCCATGCGGCACCATGGAGGATGGGGTAAGATTACTGTCCATTACAGGTTCACAGCTCGAGAGATACAAAGGGCTTTGGAGGCCGTCTCTTCCCATTCTCCATTTTCATAGATGACAAAAACTGAGGCCAGGTATAGGAGATGGATTGCTCAATGTCCTGGTTTTAAATTTCCTCTTGGATAAGAGCTGAGAGATAAGTGCTATACTCCAGGGTAAGCTGTGACTACAGATTTTTGTAGGAACTCAGGGACAGAATTCTAGGTCCTCAGCAGTTCTGACAGTCTTATCAGGATGAGGAAGTGTTAGCTTAAATGGTTGAGGAATATAATGCAACAAATATTAGGTAACAGTGAGTGATCATAGAATAATAGATTTAGAGCTAAAAGGCACTTTAGAGTGCTTCATTTTTACATAAGAGGAAACCACAGACTAGGAAAGTAAAGTGACTTGCCCAAAGTCATATAGTGGAAGAGCCAGAATTTGAACCCAGGTCCTAAGACCCTAAATCTACCTTTTATTCTACTACTCCACAATGTAGTGAAACATCTCTTCAATTAAGGGATATCTACCTTCCTGCATGTCCTAGAAGTATAAACAAATCAGAATAGTAAAACTTGAAAGCTGTCAGATTCACATTTGATATCCTGAAAATATTATCTAATGTGAGAAATAGAGGCCTAAAAGAAGTTTCAAGGATAAACTTGTTAAAGTTAAAATTTCAGAAGCGGATAAGTAGCTTTCAAATTGTGGATAGGCCTGTTTGGGCAGCTTTGTATCCTCTGGAGTCTGTTTCAGGTGCTCTTCCTCTGATTCTTCCCCTTAGGCATCACCATTTTAGGGCTTTACCGAATAGGAGGCGTGAACTCCAAGGTCCAGAAGCTCATGAACACCATATTTTGTAAGTAGGAAATGAAATTAGTTACTCAGTGGGGATTCTTTTTTGGGACTATATGCAAGGAAAAGAAGCACCCCTACAAGGCTTCTGTTAGCTAGAGACTCTCTGCAGGCTTCTTTTCTTTCTTCTGTGATCAGTATAAATTGAAATTCTTTGTGTCCTGAGGTAAGATTCTAAAACCAGATCTGTAATATTGTTTTAATCGCCTAAGTTGAAAGTTCCATCTGCTTCTTCAAGTTTTACTGGAGCCATTTGTCCAGACCACTCCTTTGCCCACATCACACTGTACATGAAGTTGTGTTTGTATTTATGCCTGTTGTCTTCTTTCTCTCTCCTTGGTCCCTCTCCCCAAGATGAATGTTAGCTCCTGGGGTGCAACAATTGGCCATTTTTTAATCTCTTTATTCCCAGTACCCCACACATTGCCTCATACGTATTGGGTGAATTGAATTGGGCCATTTGGTATGGTCAGTTATACAACTGAGCAGCCTGGTGTAATCAAAGAATATGGGACTTGGAGTCTAAGAGCAATTACTCAAGCAATTACTCAGCATCTGTTAAATTCCAGATTCTAAGCAAGGAGGATAGAAATTTCAAAATAAGCAATTCCTGCCTTTAAGGAGCTTACATTCTACTAAGTCTGGTTTGGAATCAGTCCTAGCCCTACCACTTGTGTGATCTCTAGCAGGTGACTTAACCTCATCTATTTCCTCAGGTGTCAAAAGAATAAATTAATTCTGTACTACTTGTCTCATAGGGTTGTTGTGAGACTCAAATAAGATACTGCATGCTTACTTTGTAATGTCAGATGATAATAATGGTAACAAAAATGATAGCTGGCATTTATATAGCATCTACTATGTGACAGCCACTGTGCTAAACACTTTACAAATATTATCTCATTTGACTTTTATAACATCCCTGGGAGGTAGGTCCTATTATTACCATCTCCATTTTATAGTTGAGTAAACTGTGGCAAACAGAGGTTAGGTGACTTGTTCAGGGTCACACAGTGTCTGGGGTAGATTTGAACTCAGGTTTTTCTGGCTTTAGATCCAGTACTCTGTCCACTGTGCCACCTAGCTATTATAAAGGTTACCACACACTCAGTCTTAATGATTAAACTGTTTAGGCATTCAAAGACCTTCACCATCTGGATTTAGAAGAAAGCAATTACTTGTGATTATTCAGACTTCTTCCTCAGATCCTAGGAATAGCCAAAGGCTTATTAGTGCTCAGAGAGCAAGTATCACAATTGATAACCCAGATTAATTTAAACCCTTCTGTTTGGGAGCCTACAAATTATATTTATTCTCCTAAAGTTCTTATGCACCTTGTATTGGGGTCAGTGAACCTGCGTTTTAAAAAATATTTTTGACAGCTGTGTTTCAATATAATCGATTTCCTTTGCAATTCTATTTGCTTTATTTTATACATTTAAAAGCATTATTCTGAGAAAAGCTCCATTTGCTTCTCCCAACTCTCAAAGAGATCCATGACAGAAAAAAAGGTTAAAAACTTCCAGGTATAGTAGGAGAGATTGGTCATCAAAGCTTAACAGTGATTTGGAGTTGTTTGGTTTAGCTGGAAAGCTAACTAGTTTCTCTTGGCTGCCCCCCTTTCCTAGCTTCTTTCTTCCAGAGTCTGGGGGTTGAGGTGAGGCAGGACAAGGACTTGCCCTTAGTGCCTTTACTCTACTCCTCAGGGTTGCATAGGTGGAGCTCCTGAACCAACCACCTAGATTTGCTTGAGCTTAGTACTTACCAAGCCTATATCTCCCTAATAGGAGAGCTTAGCTCCTTCTTTGCCCAGGAGAATCTACAAAAGTCTAGATTCTTATAACTTAATATTTTCTCCCTTTTGGAGGAATTATAATACTATCCACTAACATTTCTTTGACTTCAGTCCTGAAGAGAATTTTCTCAACTCCCTCCAGTTCTCCCTTGACTCCTTCAGCTCCTCCATCTACTCCTCTTGAGCAAATGAAAGACATACAGACCAGTAATGCCTTGGTTTAACCACAAATTTATCTTAGTAGTTTCTTGTACAGATTTGGTTAATAGCAGTATGAAATATATACTTTAAAGAAACAGAGACAAGCTTTGGAGCAGATGCTCTGGAGAGGAGCATGAATGCTGTGGGTTCTATCTAGCTCATTTGCGTATTATGATAGTAATAGCATCAACAGGAAAAGCAGCATTACTGTCCTTCAGGACCTCATTTTATCTTTATCAGTTGGAAAGGAACTCTGACCTTTCCAAAGAATGTTACTTATGTCTTCCTCTAAGTGAGATTTTGGCCCTCTCCTCCTACTAGGATGAAAGGAAGGAGCCCCTCTGCCTTTTTAAGTACAGACAGTCCCACAGTCCCTGGCACTGGAAACTTTCTATTTGCCCATGTATCTCCATTGCCCCACTACATAAGAAAGATGTTGGGACTATGCTCTCAGGCAAAGCAAATCAATGAGTTGTTTCATCTATCACCACCAGATTATATTAAGCAGAATTCTGAGTTTAGCTCCAGTGGTGTTCTGAGCAGTCAATATCTTATTGTCCTAAGATCACATCTCCTTAACTAGTTTGATTGGTTTTCCAAATATCCTATTTTAAACCTCTTATTTTTATTTTTTTTCCAGCTCCTAAGTCTCCTCCTGATATTGATATTGATATTGAACTGTGGGATAATAAAACAATAACAAGTGGACTAAAAAACTACCTCAGGTAAGATTTGCCACTTGGATTTTTTCATTTTTTTCCACTGCCTTTCAAAGTGATCACAATATTTCACTGGGGTTAGAAGTTCTGCTCTTGATTTATGGCTTTGATTTACCCTTTAGCTTAATTTCATTGAGCCCCTGGAACAAATAGTAAGAGTCTGGTAACATTTATACTTGCAAAAATGCAGCTTGGCTTTAGGACTAATGTTTTAAAAGGCCACAATATGGGCATGTTACACTTTGGAAGGAGAACTTTTTCCGTCATAAAACTTGCTGCAAAAGCTGTTGAAGAATGTCTTTAATTCCAATCTTTGGTAACAATTTTAAAATTCTTTTTTTTTATTTAAGAAGTCAATCTTTGGCCCTTAAAAAAACACAATTCTAATGAGTTATATATAAAGTATTATACATTCATTAGTTTACTTTAAAAGTAGTATCAATAAATGAGACAGATCCTTGCTTTAATTATAATTTAATTAAAAAATCATTAAGTATCTACTGACACTTGGGGTAGATGTTGAAAGTAAAAAGATAAAACAAGGCACAGAACTTGCTTTCAATGGAGTCTAAAATATAATTGTGGGTGAGCACACCTATGAACACAAACAACTATAAAGCAGAATGTGGTCAGTGTAAAGGAGAGATTCAAAAATTCCATGAGAAATTTAAGGAGAGAGAGAGAGAGCTAGTTTTCACCTGAGAAGAGGTCATACTTGAATTGTGCCTTGAGAGTTGAGAGAAATTTCAGTAGTCTGATAAAGATGAGGAAGCATGGGAACAGGGCAGTACAAAAATGGGGACAGTAATCCAACATGGCTAGAAAGCAATTAGTCTAAGAGAAGACCAGAATGAGTGATTAGAACTAAATTGTGGAAGTCCTTGAATTCCTGGGTGGGGAGTTTATTCTTTACTTCAAAGGTAATAGTGAACCACTAAGGGTTTTTTGAGATGGAAGTGACATCATCAGAGGCCTGCATTAAGACTGCTTTGGTAGCTGTGTGAAGGATAGATTGAAGTAGGAAAATCAGTTAAAAGGCTATTGTAGCTGTTCAGGTAACAGGTAATAAGTGAAAGACTGAACTAGGGTGGTTGCAGTTTGTGTTAAAAGCAGGAAATAGACATGAGAAATATTGCAATGTTATAATAATCAGGTCTTGACACCAGCATAGACTGTCAGGAGTAAATGAGTGTAACTCTGAGGCTGTGAGCCTTAGTAACTAGGAGGATGATCATTGTCCCATCAAAAGAAATAGACATGGCAGGAAAGGGGATGTTTGGGTTTACAGTGCTAAGTTCAGTTTACAACATGGTGATTTTGAGGTGCCAACAGGATATCCAGAAAATAGATCTAAATAGGAGACTAGAGCCTGGGGTGGGGGCAGGAGGATCAAAAGATTTGGGAATACCAATTAGATTGTCAATAGTTAGGATTGTTTATTCTCTACCATTTTCCTCTTTCTTTTTTTTTGTTGTTGTTTAGATTTTTCCGTTATACCTGTAGTATTTTTTTCCTGGCCCTTATTGCCATTAACTAGTCACTATATAGAATTTATAGATGTATGTGTGTGTATACATATAGATGGGTTCGTTTTGAGGGGGGCATTTATTGAATAGGACTTTGTTAACTATCTAGAGCCAGGAAGACCTGGGTTCAAGTCTTACCTCTGACACATTATTGACTGTTTAACCTTGAGCAGGTTATGTAACCTCTCAGTGCTCTAGATAACTAAGACTTTAAAATTGCAGACAATGTGCTTAGTTGTATTGGTAGAGGGAGTTTCCTCCTGGCTCACTGTCACAGTGATGTGAAGTCACAGGCCCATTCCTTATTCCCATTTTATTTGATGAATAGGTGGCACAGTAGATAGAGTGCCAGCCCCAGAGTCAGGAGTACCTTTTCCTGAGTTCAAATCTGGCCTCAGACACTTAATATCTGTGGTACCCTGGCCAAGTCACCTAACCCTATTTGCCTGTGTTTCCACATCTGAAAATGAGCTGGAGAAGGAAATGGGAAATCACTCTAGGGTTTTTGTGAAGAAAACCTCAAAATAGGGTCATGAAGAGTTGGACACAACTGAAAAATGACTCAGCAGTCAGGGATTTTGAACATTTTATGTCTCTAAAAATTAGAACACTAGGTCAAGTTATTTGTTTGTTTTTAATTATATGTCTCTTAGTTGAAAAGGAGTTTATTTTCCCCCATGGGCCAATGTCTATTTAGCCACTTTGCTGTCATTGTGAACTTGGTCTCAGGCTAAGAAGAGACTGTATGACTCAGGAGTGTCTTATGAGTAATATTCTGAAGAAGGCAAGGGCACAAAGTTTAGCATATGGGAAGTGGGTAAAAGCTGCCATTTAAAAATGTATTTCTTTTGTTCTTTATGATAGGTGTCTCACTGAACCACTGATGACTTATAAGTTGCACAAGGATTTCATTGTTGCTGTTAGTAAGTATTTTTTTAAAAAAAGATATATACTGTTTTAAAATCCAATCAGAGTCCAACAGCCATCTAAAGTAGTTGTTAACAATTCAATGCCATTTTAAAGTTTTGAAATTCATCAGTACTTCAGAGATTCATGATTTTATCAATGTGAGGAACTCCCTGTACTAACCAAAATTATATTCCCTACTCACTTCAGTAAATGTCTTCACAATTACCTAGCCAAAATAAGTTAAATTACCTAATAGGCAGATTTCTGCTGATGAGCCTCTACCAGTTTTAAAACTGATACTTTATCGACAGAATTCTTATAGTCCACAGACAGACCTGTAACTCAGAGCCTTTTTATCTACCAGAGCATTACCTCCCATAATCCAGTGTCATTTCTACAATATGATAAAGAATAAAAGTAAGACTTTAGTAGAAGAGATTTTGAAGTATCTTCTATTAACAGATGTTCTTTAGTATTTTAGTTAATCCATGGTTTAATGTAAAAGGATGTGACACATGAACATCTAATAAAGGGGCTGAATTATTTGAAGTTGTTTGGTTGATTTCATTGAGTGCCTTTAATAGATGAATTGCATAAAATAACTTAAGACTTAGATGCACATTGTGGGTACTATCCTGTATGAAGAAATTAATTTTATTAATTAATTTTAATATTCTCTTGTTAAAATCATCTGCTTCGTGGAATAAACATACTTTAAGAAAGTTGGACCTACAGTAAAATTCTTTAGCATAGTGCAGTGCAGTGGAAAGCTTAATGAGTTAGGAATTGAAAAGGGATGGTTCCCATTCCGCCTTAATCATTAATGAGCTTTCCAACTTTCAGCAAGCCACCTCACCTCTTTGTCCCCAAGTTTGCCAGTATGTAAAATGAGCATGTTGCACTAGCTGATTCCTAAAGTAGCTATATAGTTATATGACTCAATGAAATTATTTTCCCATTGATTTCCATTATAAAAATGGAGATACATTCCTCCAGAGTAAAGAATTGGTCTCTGACTGCAACAAAAATTGAAATGTGAAATGATCCTAATTAAATTCAATAACTACTATTATCCAGTAGTTTGATTTCTCTTTCCATTTTAGCCAAGGAAGAGACAAAGCCCTGACTGGTGGTAGTTTTCAAGGACTTAAAAACAAATTATTTTTTCCAATTTTAAGATACTGTTATTTAAAATTTTGAGTTCCAAATTCTATCCTTCCCTATTTCCCTGCTCTCCCCACCCCCTCCCCAATATGGTAAGCAATCAGATTTAGGTTATACGTGTGCAATGATTTAAAACATTTCCGTATTAGTCATAAAAATCAATTCTTAACCTAACATTGTGAGAAAATCATTTGGAGCTCTGTTATTGGAACCTAACTCCTGCAAAGGGAGGGAGTGAAGAAGGCAAAGAGAGTAAGTGAAAAATAAGGAACTTCTTAATGTCTTTAATTGATTAATGAGCAGAATTTGATCATTATTGGTGTCTGATCTTTGTTTGTAGAAGTTGTTATGTCTACAATGGCTTTCTTTTCATGAATTAGAAATAACAGCTTCTCTATTTTCATTAGTGCCTGAAGATACTTACTGGTGCGTATATAAGCTAATGAACTATAGAGTTTTACCCCCAAATCCTTACCCATGCACAATGCCTTTCTTCTTATAAAAAATCTCTTTAAGAGATTGTCACATGAAAGAATGACAGCAAAATTCCTCATTACAAGTTACATAATGTTTTCATTGTTGTTTCTAAGTACATTTGAAAAACAAAAGATAAAGAATAGAGTTTATGGTGTTTAAAATCTAAACGTCCAAGATCAGTTTAATTGGTACAACAGCCATTTATAGCAATTATTAACAATTAATGTTTTCAAATTTTGAAATTCTTCAGAGGGCCATGATTTTATCCATGTAGGTTATTCCTATACCAATCAAAATGATAACCTTCTCAATACCTCATTGTGTGTGTGTATGATAGCTTCTAAAGGAGAAGATCATTTCATACCCATTTTTTTAGTTGTATCATATTTTAGGTTTTTTATGGTTTGGATTTTCTTTTAGGCAGATAGAAAATTTTTTTCTTAAGGAGCTATTAAAATATGTGCATAACAAGTATCTTCCATAAATATAACTTTATTTCAAAATGTTTAAAGCTTCAATCATAGTAAAACAGTCAGTATGCTATGGGGTTGGAAGTCTTATTGGACCAGATTGGAAATCTTATTGGATTTCAAAAGGTCAAGGTTGTAGTTCAAACTCAGGCCCTTACCTCTTGTGACTTTGATCAATTTATTTCATTCTTCTTGTCTTGAGTTTCTCCATCTGTAAAATGAGGGAGCTGGATTAGAGAAGTGATAAATCTCTTCCAGCTAACGCTGTCTATTCTGTAACTTATGTCTGTAAAAGTAAAGTATTATTTAAATGTAAGGCTTTATTTTTCTTTACAAAGATAATAAGCTATGGAAAAGGTTTATTAGGAAATTTGAATTATACAAAATAGTGAGTTGAAGGGGAAGTATTTTCCACGTTTTGAACCATAAACGTGACAATATAGTGACAATTTATTAGTTAAAAGATAAGTTATGACATACAATTTGCTAGAAAAGTCTTAAAATAAAAAAGTAAAAAGGTTTATAATTCCAACAAAAAAGAAAATTATCTCATAATCTGTAATTTTTAAAAGTTTTTTTAGTTTTCTTTTAAAACAGAAGAATGGGTAAAGGATCTTAATATATGAATATCTAGTTTTACAAGTTCATAGAATGTAGACCTGGAAGAGAACTCAAAGATCATTTAGTCCAATATCACTGATTTTACAGATGAGAAAAGTTATTCTTGGTCACATAGGTCAGTGCAGCAGGCTTGGGACTCATTCATATTCTCTGATGATATATTCAATGTACATTCCATGGTATCATGCTACTTCCCTCAATCTCCTCCTAAATATAGAATACAGTTAGAGTGCAAGAACACAAACAGGCAAGCTAGTGATATAGTCTACTGAGGAGAATGGGTAAAGGACAACCAAATCAAGATCATTGGCACTAATAAAAACTGATGGTAAAGAATGAAAATATCCATGAGGTGAGAGAAATGGTTATTTCTCTCTTATATTAATATCCAATTATTAATTGAAATTATGATTTTCCCTTTTCTATTTCCTCATTCAGAAATCAGCCCCTTGTAGGTTATTCAACCAGCGTCTGAAGGACATTGCTGATAGATGAGATTGCCCAAATCCTTGGGGTACAAGCTTTCTGGTCTTGTTAAAGACCCCACATATCTGTGGAAGCTAGGTTCTGATTAAAGAGTAAAAACAATCCAAGCTAGGTAGATTCTGTCCCATTTATGTTTTATTCAGGCAAGCTTGGGTGAGGAGTAGATCCCTTTGTCTAGATTGCCCGAGGCTGGTGGTGGTCTGGGAGTAAGAGTGACATAATCAAAGTCACATTCTCCCAGCCCCTCATTAGAATAGGTCCACCTCTCATCATAATGTTTATTTTCTCATTAATTGTTAACCAGTCAGATTTGACTGCTGCCTATCAGGAACATCCACTCTTCCCAAGGCATATAAGCATTGAGAGGCCTCCATGATTCATCTGTTGGTTTCCAAGAGAAAGCCAAATGACCATCCTTTTGTTAATTATTTGTTAGCCATAATTAATAAAATTATTAATTACCCAGAAACGAAGTCCCTTGAACTTTTCATTTCTCACAAAGGGAAGAGACAGAGGAAACAACAGCTAAAATGGTACAGCAAATTTGGACTGTTTATAGAAGGGGCAGACACTGAGGTGAGGAACATTTAGCCCTATATACCTTACTAGCCAGCCTCTGAGGGCTTCACTGTATAACAAAGAGTAATAGCTATCATTCATAATAATGATTTTACATGAATCATGAGAAGCTAAAATTATTTATTTGAACACTATAGAAAATGAAGAACCAAAGAAATCTCTGTACAAAAATCAGTTTCATGAGAATTTTAGACGAGCAATTTACTAAAAATGACTAGTATTCTCACTGCCTAAATTGTATACAAGGCTCATTTTCTCTGGCTTAGAATATACTGTATTGTTAACGACACACCAGATTCTTAAGATTCATTGTGTTTGTTATACTAACACCCTAACATATGCTATACATCTGAATATGGGGAAACAGTCAAAGAATTTTTGGCAGAAAATAGTAATTCACAGAAACTGCACAGCACATGCACACACACGTACGCACATATGCAGGTGGCATCATATTCAGTTCTTCATGAAGTTTAATCCTTATGCCTTTTGCCCTTCATAGCAGACTGGATAACAAAACCAAACCCAAGAACTTGTTCTTTAAAAAAGAAACATTTCAAACATAAAGACACTTAAAGAGTACAAATAGAAAGACATGTATAGGTGAACAAAATTTTCTTTGCTACAAATGCTACAGTTGTGCTTTGCAGATAAAGCAATAATAAAAATTGGCAATATTAAAAGATAAACAGAAACTACATTATGTTTAAAGGTACCATAGATAATATATGTGCCAAATAGCTTCTCATAAATGTTCCTAAAAGGAAAGCTAATTGAATTGCAAAAGAAAGACACAGAGTACCAGAATTGTAGAATATTTTAATATCTCTCTTTCAGAACTGGGCAAAACTAACATGAAAGATTTAAAAAAGAAGGAAAGCATAGAGCTGAACAAATTGTTCAAATAATTAGATTTAGTGGACTTCAGATGATTCACAAATTATCTTTTTAAAAATCATCTTTTAAAAAGTGGGAATATTAAAGAACTGATGTACTTCTCAGCGTTTTGTAGTACCTTTACAAAACTTGATTATCTGATAGGACGTAAAAGAATTAAAAATACATGTTACAATGCAGAAACATTAAAAAATATGTTTCTTTACACCATAACACTATAAATACTAATGAATAAAGGAATAAACAAAAGATACCAACCTAAATGAGACAAAGTAATAGCATCCTAAATAATGAGTGAGTCAAAGAACAAATAACAGAAACAATGTAAAAGAAAAAATAACAATGGAACCACATACAAGCGCTTGTAGGATTGTACCTGTAAGAGTGCTTAGAATAAATGTTACATTTCAGAAAACATGATAGCAAAACAGGAAAGGACAATACTAATGAACTGTTTATTAAAGATACACATGACCAGAAAGAATTGAGCTGGCAATATGGTAAAAATAAGCAACAACAGGTTAATAACAATTAAGAAATCAAAAGCACTAATGGAAGGCCTCAGTTATGAATCCTCTTGGTGGATTCTCTTTGAAAGATCTAAAGAAAAACATGGAAAAAAATTGCATGAGATAAGAAAGCAGAGAGGTTGTGATATGCATTGGTGGAAGGAGTGCCCTTACTGATGAAATCACAGATCCATCAAAGTAAGTAAACTATAATAGTTTTGTGAGCCACCTGTTTGCTACCAATAATAAATGAATAATGCTAGTGGTTAAAACTTATTAGCAAACAAATGTGTCCTTGAATAGTACAATTCAATGTATATTAGAATGCTATGTATGTACTATATATAAAAAGTTGTATATTACAATGCCAAGATAACAAGAAATTCAGAATTTAAATGCCAATAAGAGTTAAAGGAGGTTGGATATTGATTTCCCAGGCTGAATTCTTAGACATTTATATAAATAATGTAAGAATTTAGCTTTGTGATTGAGGTTGTGACATGTTAATAAGTGCCTTCTTATTTAAAGAGTAACATACATTTCCATGTATTGATGACTTAGACCTTTATCAACTCTTTTTTATTGCAGAATCTGATGACCAAAACTACAGGGTGGAGGCAGTCCATGCATTGGTGCACAAATTACCAGAAAAAAACAGAGAGATGTTGGACATCTTAATAAGACATTTAGTCAAGTAATTCTTCTCACCAATTCTTTCCTGTTTTCCATATCATTGTAATTTCTGCTTCATAGATAACATACAGTTTAGAAATCTTAAACTAGATTGCAGTGACAGCTGTACTTTTAATTAGGGGCCCAGTTTCATCAGTAAGGTGAGATTGAAGAGTACCAGAAGGGTAAGTAGCATGGAAAATCTTGCGTCTTTTTAAAGTTAGTTTGAGTATGGCTTTTGGAGGGATCATAGGATCATAAACTTGAGTCTGAAAGGACTTTTGATGTCATTCATCCTTGTATCATGCTCATTTTACAAATGAGAAAATGGAAGCCCTGTGAGTTTGTGATTTGCTCAATGTCACAGAAGTAGTAAATGGCAGAACTTGGATTTGAATCCTGTGACTCCAGAGCTGGCACTCTTTGCACTATACAATGCTACCTCATAATTGGTTCTAATTGCATGTAGTTATAAGGAGGAGTCATATGGAGAGAAGATATGTAGATGCTACTGCTTTGAAATCAGATCAGAATGAAATGAAAGCTTGGCTTAGGTTGAAGAAGTTGGGAGTTACACTTATGAACAAGAAGCAGCTGACTCATGGAAGTCATCCCATGTGTGCTTGTACTCACAATTGCTATTTTGATCAGATAGTTCAGTTATTTTTCTGTTTTGTGGTCACAGACTCACCTTCTAACCTTGGGCAGCCATCTCACAAATGTATTGCATTTATCACAGAAGGGATCAATCACTGGCAAGTGGCTTCTTGGAAATTTTCATTTTATCTCCTTTACTGGAAAAAATAACTTAAAGCTCATCTTTCTATGTTGCTAAAAATGAGATAGCTCTATTGTCCTATAACAATAGTTATAAGCATAATAATGTTATAGACATAAAATAATAAAATAGCAAGTATATAGTATTTTAAGGTTTACAAAGTACATTACCACTATTATTTCATTTTATACTCACAATAACCTGGGAGGTAGTTGCTATTATTATCCCCACTTTACAGATGAGGAAACTGAGACAGACAGGTTAGGTGACTTGTTCGGAGTCACACAGCTAAGTAAGAATCTGAGGCTGGATTTGAACTTAGGTCTTCCTGACTCCAGTACTTTATCTTCTGGGCCACCCAGCTACCTTTATATGCAAACGACTATAGATACACACACACACACAAGAAATAACTCCTTTAAAGATTTTATTCTACTGAATGGAACATGCTTGGTTTAATATGTGCCCTCTGCCTACCACAATGTGAATGCCCAGAAATACTTTCCTTAAAGCAGGAGCAGTAGATGTCAATTGCTATGCCTACAGTATACAAAGTTCCTGAATAGGAGCTGGGAATACAAAGGCAAAAACAAAGCAGTCTTTACATCAAGGATCTTACATTTTACCTAGGGCAGGTCCTCCTAACTTGGAGTTGTAAGTGTTTAAAAAAATTGTTGCTAACTATATTTCAATATAAGTTGTTTCCTCTGTAATCTTCTATATTTTATTTTATGCATTAAACATTCTGAAGAGGGGTCCCTAGAATTTCACCAGACTGCTAAGCAGGTCTATTTAAAAACAAAAAAGGATTTATAACCTCTTCTCGAAGGGATGGTGACAGAGTCAGTATATACATAAATAAATATAATATCGAGTCATTAAAGGGGAAAAAGTACTAACAACAGAAGAGATTCAGACAAGTTTCATAGAGGAAGTGGAACATGAACTGAGCCTTGAAGGAAAATTGTTGGATCTGAGTAGTGGTAGATCCATAAAGTAGACATCAATTTTTGTTTTATTTTTTTAAAAAAGTTCTTATGGTTGGCATATAAAGTCCTGCTTTGCTTCAAGAAAACTGAAGAAATTACTTTAAAATGGAAATGAGAGCATCAAAATGACTGAACAGGAAGTTGATAATCAAGAGAAGAAAGGAAATAGTAAGAGAGAGCTTAGCCATCTTTGATTTCAAGTCACCTAGACCAAATATAACTTCATCCTACAGTCAATTAGGTGGAGCAGTGAATGGAGTGCTAGGTCTGACATCAGGAAAACTTAAAAGAGTTTAAATCAAGCCTCAGATATTTACTAGTTTTGTGACTTTGGATAAATCTCTTAAACCTCTGTTTCCAGTTTATTCAACTATAAAATGAGGATAATAATAATACCTAAATCACAGGTTTGTTGTGAGGTCAAATGAGATATTTGTAAAGTGCTTAGCTAGTACAGTGGCTGCCACATAATAGGTATTTAATAAATATGTATTTCCTTCCTTCATTCTTGGGACCTGAAAGAACTGACGGACAAGATTACAGAACTACTATCAATGATATTTGAAGGATTATGGAAAAATTCCAGTATTAGAGAAGGACAAATGTTTTTCTAGTTATGTGTGTGCATAAATATTTTTAATATATAAAATCAGGACAATATTTGCCTTTCTCCAAACCTATAGACATATGTATATGTATATACACATATGTGTAAGTGTGTGTGTTTATATGTGTAGAGGGAAAGAGGGGTTGGAGAGAGACAGACAAAGAGGCAGAGAAAATATGAACCAAGCTCATTTTGATAGGATTACTAAACTGCTAGATGAGAGTAATTCTGTGAATACAGTTTACCTAGATTTTAGAAAAGCTTTTAAATAAAATATCTCATTCTGTTCTTAAGAAAAAAGATGAAGCATTATAGATTAAACAGTAATATAATCAGATGTATTCAGAAGTGGTTAGATAGCCTGACTCAAAAGGTAATTGTTAGTGGTGCCAATGGCGAATTAACAGGAGGTCTTCACTGGAGAGTGCCTGGGTTGTGTGCTTGGTTGTGAGTTTTTTTTCACATTTTTATCAATGTCTTAGATAAAAGCATAAATGTTATATTCATTAAGTATATAGATAACACAAAGCTAGGAGGCATAGCTAAACAAATAAATGATGGTCAGGCTCCAAAAGGCTCTTGACAGGCTGGAGAATTGGTTTGAATCCAACAAGATAAAGTTCAGTAGGGACAAATGTAAAGTCTTGCACTTGAGTACAAAAAATCAATATCACAAGTATAATATGGAGGAGGCATGAGTAGAAAGCAGTTATTCTGGAAAAGGAATAGTGTTTTCATGGACTTATTTAACAATGTTGTTGTTGAGTTGTTTCAGTTGTGTTTTACTCCCATTTGGAGTTTTCTTGGTAAAGATACTGGAGTGGTTTGCCATTTCCTTCTCCAGTTCATTTTACAGATGAGAAAACTGAGGCAAACAGGGTTAAGTGATGTGTCCGGGGTCACAGACACTTGTAAGTTTCTGAGACTAGATTTGAATTAAGGAAGATAAGTCTTACTGACTCTGGGCCTAGTGCTCTATCTACTGCAACACTCAGCTGCCTTTAGCAATGTTAGGTAGCTGTCATAAAAGTTAATGGGTTCTTGGAATGAATTAAGAAGGTCATAACTTCCAGGAATGGTGAGGTCATGGGCTCACTCTTCTCTGCTTTTGTCAGTCTTCATCTGAAGTATTGTGTTTGGTTCTGGGCATTGATAAATTAGAGGAAAGTCAGAGGAAGACAACTAGAATGGTGAAGGAACTAAGCCTGTTTAGCCTGGAGAAGAGACTCAGGGGACACATCATAGCTCTCCTCAAGTATTTGAAGCATTGTAAAAAGGAAAAGGGACTACATATGTTCCTTTTGGCCCCAGAGGACAGTGAGTGGAAGTTACAAAAAGACAAATTTAGGCTTGATGTCAGGAAAAGCTTCCCAATTATTAGAGCTATCCACAAGTGGAATAGGCTGCCTGGAGGGATGATGAGTCCTTCATGTGATCTTCAAGCAGAGGCTGGATAACCATTTATCAAGTATATTATATGGAAGACCCTCAAATGCTGTGGCTGTCAGATAACAGACCTTGACGATGTTTTTGGAAAAAACAAAATACCTGTTTTTCAAACTGCCCTACCTGTCTGGAAATAATGCATTATCTACATCTTGATGACCAATGTCGTAATTTTGACATTTATTTGTTATACACCATTCATCTATTCATTCATCATTTATTAACAATGTGCAGTTATGTGCTGTGCTAGGTTTATTGGTGTTAAAAGCTAAATAAGTATAGTTACTGCTTTTGTGAAGATTGGGTGGGCCACTCCTTCTTGGCAGTTTTATGCGGTTAAAGGAATGAAAATTTAAAAGACCTCCCATTTGTTGTAGTAGAAATAGCAAATCAGTTTAGGATTAGCTTTGCTATTGTCTATTGACAGCTAGTTCGCTTGTGTTTTTCTGGGCAGTTGGTTAACCTCTGTGTGCCTCAGTTTCCTCATCTGAATAGTGAGGCAGTTGGACTAGATGACTCTTGAAATCCCAACTTTAGATCTGTCATCTTTTGATTACCTGACTCCTAGCTTTCCTTGTGGCTTTCCTTGTTTCAAAAATATTTTAAATAAATTTTTGCATTAATTTAACAATAGCTTTTTCAACAAGCTACATTAGTTCCTTTTAAAAATTCCTATTCTAAAATTTATTTTACATGTAAACACAAAAAGTGGCACAATAGAGTTATTGCTGAATATGATAAGTAGAAACTCCAAATGTTTGTAGATTTTGAATTGAAGTTACTAGAGAATAGAGCATAAAACAAACATCTGTTGGTTATATTCATATTTGAGGAAAAATCCCTTTGTACATGCTGCCTTTTGCTTTTTTCCATAAAAATGGCCTTAAAATAGATTCCGAATGATTTCATAATTGTTCATAGCAAAGGTCTGATTGCTGATTGGTGCATCCTAATATGAATTTCCTCTTTTCATCCAAAAAGTTTAGATATTTCCAAAAGGAAACAATCATGTATCTGTCTCGCTACCTGACTGTATGAATGAGGTGGATAGTCAGCTAAAATGCTTGATTATCTGTGTCTGTATCTATTCAGTAACATTAGGTAGAGGGTAATTCCATGGGGAGAAAATTGGTTATCAAAATGTTCCCTCTTATACATAGCTGGGTTATCAACTGTCTTTTTAGAAGAGACTGAGGGGGCAGCTAGGTGGCACAGTGGATACAGCACCGGCTCTGGAATCAGGAAGATCTGAGTTCAAATCCAGCTTCAGACATATGATACTCACTAGCTGTGTGACCCTGGCTAAGTCACTTAACCCCAGTTGCCTCAATGGAAAAAAAAAGAGATTGAGTTTTGAGCTGATTTTCAAATTTATACTCACTCATTCTCAGTGGGATTAGTATTAACCTCTTTATTTCACTGTGAAGTGTTATGATTTCAGCATAAATTTCTCAAATTATTGCCAATTTAATTTCATTGTGAGGGCATTATTTAAAAAAAATTCTTCTTATAGATATCTTCACTAAGGAAATAATTAAAAATGTTTAGGTTGGAAGTCCAAGAGCACTGAAGGATACTCAGCACCTAAGTATTCATATTTGAAACACAGTAAATCCAGTTCATCCTATGTTGGATATAAAAGGATAGGAGGCAGGAAAGAGTACAGGAAAAATTTTCTCTTTCTTGTTCTGCCCAAAGGAGTCTGTAATTTCTGTTGTCCTGGATGAGGGCCAGCAGCTGAAGCTAGAATATTGTATTCCATTTTCTTAGTTAACAGTGTCATAATAAAAAAATAAGACTTTTAAAAGATTTTAATGTGGTTTTATAGAAGGAACATTATTAGATTAGGATTCTAAAGATCAGAATTATAGGTGCAGCTTTTGAACATTCTTCCTTTTTATTCTCTATAAAGGAGTGGCACAGGGGCAGCTAGGTGGCGCAATAGACAGAGCTCCGGCCTTGGAGTCAGAAGGACCTGAGTTCAAATTCAGCCTCAAACACTTGATACTTACTAGCTGTGTGACCTTGGGCAAGTCACTTAACCCCAATTGCCTCACCAAAAAGCGAGGGGAAAGAAAAGAGAGTAGTACAGATGATCATATTAATTAAAAGAAAAGGAGATCTCAAGGATATTTGGTTTTAGAATATAGAGACGAACTTGAACATATGTGTATACGTTGGCAATATAAGCCTAGGCAAGTGCCCCAAGTCAGTTTTCTAGAAGTTTCAAAGAAGTTTTTTAGCCTCATTGCTAGAGGGAAATTTCATCATTAGGGAACTCCTTACATCCATGAAAACACATGTCCTTCCTCTTTCACAAAATCTTTTTTTCTTCCTCTTCCTCTCCTTGTTCTTCTTCCTGTCTCCTTTTACACATGCACGCGCGCGCGCACACACACACACACACACATTTGCAAGCATGCATACATGCATGCAATTAATTACATTATTATATAATTATTATAATATATATTATTATAGTATGTATACAAATATATTTAAGTTAATTGTATGTATGTATATATATCTATATATTCCTCCCCTCCCTTTCTTCTCATCCACTCTCCTCTTCTTCTTCCTTCTTTATCTTCATTCTATTCCTTCCTAGAATCTGTTTTGAGTCCTTCTGTTGACAAGTGTTATGGGACTCATCTGGGCAATAAGATGAAGATTGTGTTTAATCCAGAAAGTGAATCTGTTTATGGATAATCAAGTTGAAATGGAAAAGAGTTCCATTATTGGTAAATGTATACCACTACACTCTAAGCCAAACATATATCCTAATTATGGATGAAATCGTTGATGTAGTATAAAGAATTCTAGATGTGAAGAGGCTGCATTTGGAGTCAGACGACCTATATTCAAATCCTTTTTCTGCCCTTTACCTTAACTGTGTATCCTGGGGATTTGCTTTCCTCATCAAATGCAAATTCCTGCACTTAGATGATCTCTAAGGACTCTTCTGGATTAATATCCAGACTCTCTAATCCTGGAGTCTGGGAGACCTGGCTTCAAATCCCATCTCTGACAATAACTAGCCATGTGTCATTGGGCAAGCCACTTAGAGCTCCTGTGTCCTCCTTTGTATAAGTGGAATAGTCATGGTTTCCACCCTTACCTCACAGGATAGCTATGAGGGATCCTTGTGAAACAATGTATAAAGGGCTTTGTGAATCCTCAAAAGCTCTATATAAATGTTAACCCTTTTTATTATCATGATTATAAACTAAAACTGTAAGAATACTTTAGGAAGCTAGGTGGTGCAGTGGGTAGGGTACTGGGCCTGAAGTCAGGAAGATTCATTTTCCTGAGTTCAAATCCAGCCTCAGATACTTATTAGCTATGTGTCCTTGGGCAAGTGACTTAACCCTGTTTATCTTAGTTCCTCATCTGTAAAATGACCTGGATAAAAAAATGGCAAACCACTCCAGTATTTTTGCCAAGAAGACCCCAAATGGGGTCACAAAGAGTGGGACATTACTGAAAAATGATTCAACAATATCATACGAATGCTTATTAGTAATATAATTCTGCTTGAAAACTTTTGGATGTTTTCCAATCATTTCAAAATGTGGAATTGGGCTGAATAGCTGTTGTCCATTCATGCTTTACCCCTGTTCAGGTTGAAATGATACTATTTAGGATTCCGGTCTCCTCAGGAAGATGTCATTAGAGTAGATGCATAGGACCAGGAATTCCAGGCCAGAAATATTTCTCTAAAGCTGTACTATACCCAGGTTGCCTGAAAGAGTCATTGAGCATCCCTAAATGCTTATAGACCCTTTAAGTACTAGGAAAAACAAAGCCCTTTATTGTCTCTTCTTGATTAGCTATGCAATTAAATGGGACAAATGGTGTAGAAAATTCAAAACAGCTACTAATTTGGTATTATTTGTTTTTGACTTTAGGAGATACCCTAAGGTGGTGGGGTTTTTTTCCCTTCCCAATATACTGCATACTCAGTTGTCTTTTATATTTTTTAAAAAAATCTTGGGCCCCAAAAGTAGGGGCCTCCCCCTACTCCTTTGCAGAGGTGGGAGCAAAATCCACACATGTGGAACATTGTGTATAATGTCTGATTTTTCAGTGTATTCATAGGTTTTACTGAATTTTTTCTCCTTTTTTTTTCCTTTTTAGTAATTTATTTTTTGTAAGATATGGCTCTTGGTTGAGGGGAGAAGGGTGCAAGGGAAATCTAAGGAATGTAAAAACAAAAAATATTTGAAAGATAAAATGAGGTGAGATTTCAAAAATTCCTCTGGTTTCAAAACTTTGATTGAAACAAAAAAACACATTACTTTTCATTTCTTGACCCCACAGCAATCAGTGACAAAAAAAAAAAAAAAGTGATGGCTGGAGGAGCTTAGGGTGGGGGTGGTGATAGAACAGCCTAGAGGAATGCTAAGTGTAGTGGGAAAAAATGATCTGCAATCCAAAGTGTGGATATACACACAGGTCATTACAAATTCATTGCCTTCCAGCAGTTAGAGTCTTTAAAATTAGATTAATATATTTTTCTAATTATTCATTTTGAACTTTTGTTTTATTTATAGAGTATCACTGCATAGCCAGCAAAATCTCATGACTATCTCCAATCTTGGAGTCATCTTTGGTCCTACTCTGATGCGGGCACAGGAAGAGACAGTAGCTGCTATGATGAACATCAAATTCCAGAACATTGTGGTTGAGATTCTGATAGAGCACTATGAGAAGGTATGGCCAAGTATTTGACTAAAAGAGGCCTTAAAGAATTAGGGAGTAAATGAATGAAAAAAAAAAAAGAATAAACAAAAATAAAAGTATGTCCTAAGTCCATACTGTGTGCTAAGCACTGTGCTAAATGCTGGGTATTCAAATGAAAAAGCAAAAACAGTCCCTGTCCTCAAGAACCTTATATTCTAAAAGGCGACACACATATAGCAAACAGTGGCCAGGGAAAGGAATTTTATTTTGGAAAGTGACAGGAATGGTGAGTAGAACCACTGGGGAGTATATTAACAAGGCAGGTGGCAAGAAGATGCCTGAGGATGATAACTTAAGCAAAGCCATGGCCCCTTAGGTACTGGGGGCCATCTGAGTGAGGCACTCACCAGTCGGGATAGCAGAGAAATTGTAAAACTTGTTATAAATGTAAGGAAAGGAGCTGTGGTAAGAGCTGTCTTTGTGTGACTTGAAAAGAAGCAGAACAGAATCTCTAGACTTTTTCTCCCCACCTTTATCCAGGGGAGACTTTCATTCCTACCAGGATGGAACAGGAGGTTGGGACCAGAGGACCAGAACTCTGCTCTCCTTAGAGAGGGTGCCAAACTAGAAGCATATCTATTTGCTCACTTAAATATCTGTCATCTAGGGAATATGATATGGTTCAAGCTATCATTTGATTGCTTTGTCATTTTTGTCTATATCCAAGGCTTGATCCTTTCCTCAGCTAATACCAGTTTCACAGTGAACGCACAGCAAATAACAAAGAAATCCATTTATCCAAATCATAACAAAACAGAAAACAGAGAAGGTATACATAGGAGATTACAATGCAAAGTGAAGGGACCCTCCTATTGGGAGTGAAATCAGCTCAGCCAAAAGAGAGGATTCTGAAACTTCCTGAAGTCTGTAGTATAACAAACTGGTGATTGAGACATGATGAAGGCTGCTGGCTACTTTCATGTCTTTCCAGAATCTTTTTCTTCAGAAACCTGAAATAGGGATGACATCATCCATCTTTTCTCTTGAAGCTGGAAACCAAAAGTGCCTGAAGCAACTTGATGCTTGAAGAGGACTGGTGCCCAAGAGTCCCAAAGGAGACTGGTGCGGAGGAGTCCTGAAGGAGGACTCAAAGGAGACTTTCCCTTGGAGAGGAAGCTCTCTCTCCTCTAGCCAACTCTGCACCGCCCTTCACAAAGGGCAGGCCTTTTTGTTGTTCAGCTTTCAGTTATGTTCATTTCCTCATGTCTCCATAGACGATAGTGCTCCAGGCCTTTCTGTCCTCCAGTATCTCCTAAAGTCTGTCCAAACTCATGTTCATTGCTTCCATGACACCACGTATCCATTTCATCCTCTGCCATTTCCTTTTCCTTTTGACTTCAGTCCTCCCCAACATCAGAATCTTTTCCAGTGAGTTCCATCTTCTCATTAGGTGGCCAAAGTATTTAAACTTCAGCTTCAGTTTTTGACCTTCTTGTTGTCCAAGGGATTCTGGGAAGTCTTCTCCAGCACCACAATTTGAGAGCATTGATTTTGTGGTGCTCGGCTTTTCTTATAGTCCAGCTCTCACAGCCATACATTGCTACTGGAAAAACCATAGCTTTGACCATACAGACCTTTGTTGGCAAGGTGATGTCTCTGCTTTTTAGCATGTTTGGTGGAAACAACTTTCTGGCATGCTTCCCTTTTTCAAGAACTAGCTCATTATTTCAGGGGCTCTGAAGGAAAGTGTTAGAAAGAAGTATTAGGTCTATGGAGCTGTTGTGCTGACTTCATTGTTGTATGCCTGTGAAACCTGGACAGTATACCAATGCCATAACAAGAAACTGAATTGCTTCCATTTCAGTTGTCTTAGGAAGATTCTGAAGATCACCTGGCAAGATAAGATACCAGACCCTGATGTCCTTTCTTGATCTAAATTGCCAAGCATTCAAACTCTGCTGGAGAAAATGCAACTCTGATGGGTTGGCCATGTTGTTTGGATGCCAAATGTGTATTTGCCTAAAAGACTGTTTTATGGAGAACTGACACAAGGCAGGTGCTCACATGGTGATCAGATGAACAGATACAAGAACACTCTCAAGTTCTCTTTGAAGAACTTTGGAATTGATTGCGAGACATGGGTAATGGCAAAGGACTGCCCAGCATAGCACACCCACATCAAAGAAGGCACTGTGGTCTATGACCAAAGCAGAATTGCAATAGCTCAAAAGAAGCATGATATAAACAAATTTAGAGACATCTCTACTCCAATGTTTATATGGAGCATTTGGTAGAGCCATCTAAGCTTGTATTGGTCTGATCAACTGCAGTCAGACACACTGTACCTTGACTCCAACATAGTGATATCATTTTGATCCTTTTTGAGAACAAACAATCATGCTGTCCAGATTCAACTAGCTTTCCTTTCACGGAGCAAGCATCTTTTAATTTTATGGCTGCAGTCACCATCTGCAGTGATCTTTGAGCCCAAAAATATAAAATCTGACACTGCTTCAATTTCCTCTCACTCTTTTTGCCAGGAAGTGATGGGACCAGTTGCTAAGACCTTCATTTTTTATGTTAAGCTTCAAACCAACTTTTTTTTTTCAAACCAGCTTTTATACTCTCCTTTTTCACCCTCATCGAGAGGCTTCTTAATTCTTCACCTTCTTCCATCAGAGTGGTATTGTCTGTGTATCTGAGATTGTTGATATTTCTCCTGGCAACCTTAATTCTGACTTTTGCTTCATCCAGCCTGGCATTTTGCATGATGTATTCTGCATATTAGTTAAATAAATAAGGTGACAATATTCACCAATAGGGAGAGAGCCATACCAATGAGTTGGTAACAGGGGTTACATGAGAGAGGAGGTTTGTCTTTATTGAATTATTGAGTTGTTGTGAGCTCATTCCTATGAGGTTTGAAGAAGACACTCAAGTTTTGTACTCATCAGTTCTTTACAAGGACTCCATCTTGCTTTTACTGGGATTAATCATTAAGCTTTCCTCAGGAATGCTCACAAATCAGTTTTCTTTTCCTGTTTCATTTACTTTCCAAGGTTTTCTGATTGGTATTTTACCATTGGTGTTGCAGTTTTATTTTTTGGGGAGGGGAGCATTCTAGTTTAGCTTTTTGATTTTTCAGCATTCCCCTACTGCTTCATTCTCTCTGGGTCAAGACTCTTTATTATCTTGTTATTCTTGCTTTAAAGAAACAAAAACAATCCACATATCTTTAAGGCATCTGTCTGTTAAATTCTCAGAGAAAAAAAAATTTTTAAAGAATGTGATGCAGGAATGACAGTTGAAACAGGAAATGTACTTATTCTGTATCCTAGGCAAAGTTGTCCTTCATGAATCAATAATAGTTAATGGTTCCCAAATAAGATTAGGCCATTTTGTTCTGAGTCATTATTGTACTGTATTGATTTTTCTTCCCTTTTATTAGTCTCCTTGGGTATGTGCCTACCACTCCTAACCTAAGACTAACTAAATTGTCCTTCTAAGATTTTATTCAGTGGAGGAAAAAAAAAGAGAGAATGTTTCACCCATCTATCCCAAGAGCCCATGTTTGGAGTATAACAGCAGGAGTCTGGTCACAATCAGTTCTTTTTAGGTAGGACTAGATGACCTCTAAGGTTCTGTGTTTCTCAACCAGAAAGTTTGAAGACCTTGTATCAGATCTCAGCTGTGCCACTTACTAGCTCTGTGACCTTAAGCAAGTCAAATAACCCTTTGAGTCCAGGTTTCCAAGTCTGCAAGGTGGCCTGCCTGCTTTCTAACCTGATGTGTATAAATTCTGACCCTGGTATGTGATCTTGGGCAAGATGTGGACCTCCACATCTTTTGGTCTCAGTTTCCTCATCTGTAAAATTCAAGGATTGAAATGGATAAGTTCCAAGACACCTTCCTCCTCTAAATCTATGATTCTATAATCCAGAATATAAAGGCAGCAAGGTGGAGTAGTTAGAGTGCTGGAGCTAGTGTCAGGAAGCCCTGGGTTCAGATCCAACCTATGGCAATGTGTAGCTATTTGACCACAAGCAGGTTGCTGAACTCCTCTGGGCCTTCTCATCTATAAAATGGGGATAAGAACTATGATGATGATGATGATGATGAAGAATCAATAAACATTTATTAAGCATCTACTGTGTACCAGGCATTGTGCTAAGCACTAGGGATACAAAAAGAGGCAAAAGATGATGATGATGATAATATCTACCTCATAGTGTTATTGTGAGGCTGAAATGAAAAAGTGCATGTATACCTTATGTAAATTATATAAATATCAGTGGCTTTTATTATTATTATTATATGATGACATGTTTTTATCATGAGAAGCTGCATTGTGCAGTGGAAGAAACACTGTCCTAGGTCAGAGACTTAGGTTTGAGCCCAAGCTTCTATGCTTGTTAACTCTCTATCAGTCCGTTCATCTCTTCAGGCCACAATTTACTCATCTGTCATTTGGGGATAACGGTACTTACACTCTGACCATACAGAATTGTTGTGTTATATAAGTGTTACAACAGTATGATATAAGTATATCATAAAACATTACATAAATGTAAGCTGTAATCATTATGACTGTTCCTATATAAAACAAATCTATGTATGGCTTATGCTGTTCCCATCTGCAACATAGCCAAAAAGCAAGGGTGTTCCCCAAAGTATCCTTCAGCCTGTAGAAAATAGAAACTGGCCCAGAATGAGATTTTCTTTTTCCTTTTGGATTGTACAGCACTGATCCCTTCTAGTCCTGGAAGGGTAAAATAGAACCTCTGGCTTATTTTGTCGTCCTTGTCAATATAAGTCAAAGGATGAAATAAACCAAATTATGATCAAGTTTCCAGAATTACTAGAGAATATTGTTAAACATATATAGATGTAGATGTAGATATAGACATATTTGAAAAACCTCCAAAGTTAACAGTTAAGAGATAAAAGCAAACATCCCCCAAACTCAGAAAGCCAATGAAGAGCTGTGGCAGATGTAATGATCAGCATGAAGGATGAATTTTTTTTCTACCTTGCAAGGTACTAGTGCACTGGGGCATTAGTATATAATAATAAAACTGACACTGACATAAGACTTTGAAGTTTTCAAAAGTGCTTTCATACATATTGCCTCATTTATATTTCCCATTAACTCTGTGAGGTGTATACTTTCACAGTCGTTATCTCCATTTTATAGATGAGGGTCCTGAGGCCCTTAGAGGTTAAAGGATTTGCTGTAAGTTACACAGCTAGGAAGGGGTCCCAGGCAGCTTTGGAATCCAGCTTTTCCTGATTCCAAGTCTAGGGCTCCATCCGTTACCCAATAGTGAATTTAGGAAGTGTGCAATTATATTAATAACTGGTCTTAACGAAAGTATTCATATTTATTTATAAGATTTTATTTCCATTGAACCTGCATTTGTTTTTCTTCCATATAGATATTCCATACTGCACCAGACCCAAATATTCCTCTTCCTCAACCTCAGTCCCGGTCAGGGTCCAGAAGGACAAGAGCCATTTGCCTTTCAACAGGCTCAAGGAAGCCCAAAGGGAGATACACCCCATGCCTGGCAGAACCAGATAGTAAGTGTGGCATAACCTTTCAAAACGTTTTCTACTTTTCTAGCCCATTCTTTCATGGCTCTATGACTCTCCTGTTGGTCATTAGTGAGAGAGAAAATGTTCTTGCCAACTCTTGGACTCTTTCTCTCTCCTGTTCTACATTTATAAAGTCCCGGTCAACATGTAGTATCTAGGTGCCAGGGATAAGCATATTAGACCAAATTCATTACCACTGCAAAGGAAAAAAAAAACCAGCCATTCTTCTCAACACTCTTTCTTCTGAAGCTGTGATTAAGTACATCGGGTGCTTTCTCCAAAGCAGGTTTTGTCCTGGTGCAGAAGTGGCTGGAAAGAAAGCCAAAGTGAATCAGACTAAAGCAGTCATTTTCCTCCCTCTTTTTACATTATGTTCTTAAAGCCTCATCTCTTGGGTATCATAAAATGCTTAAACACACACACACACACACACACACACACACACACACACACACACACA